TTGCTATTCCTTTATCAACTCCATGATAGCTGATACTGTCTCAGCTAATCCAACAAACTATCACTTCAGTTGTCTCGGTCCCGACTCGACAGTTCGCATCATACACCGGGGACTCAGGTAATCTCATCTTTTTTACCCGAAACACTACTGACTCAGGGAATGGCACCAAATGGGAACTTTGCAACATTGCGCTACCTAGCGTTGTTGGTTAGTGGGTTAAGTTGACACTGGAGACCCATGTGGAAATCACTGATATCGGAACAAAGTGCGTATTACACGTGTTGGACGCGAGCGAAATCACGCACCGATTTGTCTTTATCATCTTTGTGATCACAAGCCTCACCATCACGTTCAAACTCCTGGTCGTCAGTCTGAAACAGTAGTCTTTCACTTGATCGTAAACGGAAAAATACAAGTACAAAATGAAATTAAATGGTACTTGGTCAAGAAGAAATGATCTTCAAAAAGCACCTCTTCTATCTTTGTTTGCGCTCATCTCAATTTCAACAAAAGTCATCATTCGCACATTGCCTGGCGGTTTGGCGGTGGCCAAGTCGTTAAGTCACCAATTTGCGACCCGGAAGTCCCGGATTCGAACCCCTCCACTGCCGCCCGTCGTCCCTATTGCTGTATATCCTCAGGAAGCCTATGTATGGCCCCAGCCCCCTTTCTGAAAGTTCACTGTACATTTGTATATTCAATAAAATATTAAAGAGGCAGTAAAAACACATTTGAAAGACATTTGAACAGAAAGTTTGAATCGACCGCGTTCGCACTTTTCTTGGTTGCCACCTGAACCGAGTGGTGTGAACGAACATGATTGTATCTGCGCCTGTGCATCTGACAGCTGTTTTTACGTTTATCATACCAGTGTATCACAAAAACGGCAAACAGACGCATAAAGGTTTCTCTAATGGTCGGTATTTCATGTGTTACTTCAAAAAAGAATACTAGATAAAAGCATTATTTCCGAGATCCCTTCCTCTAGTCGATGCAATCCAATTGATGTGTGGAACTACTGGGATTCTGATGCGATGGGGTCAGACATTTGAGACCGGAAATCGTTTATTAGTATGATGGAATTTAGCAATTTCTGCCTATAAGTTTCCTTAGTCATCAATCCATTCATGTGTGATATTGTCTACATTTGATCAGGAAATCCTGAGGGCCTGAACCAGTATACCGTGTGAGATTTGAACCCACAGGCATGAACATCACCCACGCATGGAAAAATGGAATCTAAAATAACTGCGTTCCTCCTCCCATATCTGAGCCACATGGCGTGATGATTTTTCTCGATAAATCAGAAACAGACACCTTTTCGTACAACGTGCATCACAGGTGCACTTGAATTGGTGAATGATCATTAACGAGGTTAACGTAGTCCGCGTAGTTTGGTTCGAATAGCGAATCACTGCTGAAATCCAGAACATGTATTTCGGTTTGGTCGCAGTGAATGTTACCATAGGATCTTCGGAAGTTTTTCGGCAGTTGTATCTCGTTTAATAAACAGACCATAAAAGTTTTAATCTTTCAAATTAAAAAAAAATGCCCAAACTAGCATTTGGAATGCAATTTCAGATGAACAGTGGTCTTCACTAACACAAAATCATGTCCTTAAACTTTATATGAGACTGGATAAAACCTAAGGGTCTGGAGGATAAAAATTTATATGTGAAGAATCGATGTGTATACTTTTTGGGAGTGTTGTAGACCACATACACAGTTCTCGGCTTACATGATTGACAGTTACTTCTTACAGTCAATTTTTAGGAAAGGGAACCGCGACCATATATAGGCAACCTGAGGAAATACAGAAAAGAGGAAGATGAACAGCAGTAGAGCTGTCACGATTACAATTCAGTATAACTGGGTCATCATTTTGATAATCCTAAACCAGTTGAACACCGCTAAATTGGTGTTTTACGATTCGCACTTTTCCTTTGCTCCAAATGTAGAGCTTAGTAGCACCGAATCTCATAATAGACAGAGACTAACGAGAATTTGAACTGCTCTACACCGTCAAATGACTTATATACAAAAGGACAACGGCTTGACGCATTAGCACTTCCACTAATGCTTACCGTCCTCCCTTCCTCCCTCCCCACCTGACTGCCTTGGCAGCAGCATCAGCAGCAAATGGCTCAAAGTTACTTTAAGCTTCAGACTTGCAGGGGTTCAGTGTCTGTTTCGGGGACAACAAATTTCCCTACATGGCAATCATTGATCATCAGTTTAATGTAACACTGGTGATGCAATTCATAGTTGGCTCAGTTAACTCAGATCACGGGGTTTGAGAGCTTTTTTTAGGTCACCGAAAAAGTGTGGTAGATGGTACACTCTCTTCGATTTAGAAAAATTCTCATTCGCTTGTTATAGCACAAAAACACGTTACGGACCTAAAACGGCCTTGCCTGAAGGTGGACTGTGTCGCACCTGAGCGTAGCAATGACAAGAATCAACGGTAACATAATCGTTAAAATAATCCCACAGGGTACATTTCAAACAAAACAACAGAGTGGCGAACAAGCTCGTTTTCAGAGATTTGTATTTATACCAATACATCTCAATATATATATCACTACTTGGGAATAAAACTGTCATGGGAAAATAAAATCAAATAAAAACAGATTACTAAAAACAATTTCATCGTAAGACCGGAAATCGGGTTCACCACGTCACATGTTTGTTTGTCCACTCATCCGATCATCGAGGTTACTCACGATGCGGTTTGTATGAGGGGTGGGCCAGGGAAGCTTTAGTGCTTGCACACATTGTTTTTAGGCACACAGAGGGGGGTTGTGCGGACGAATGCCCACCACTTCTGCCGTAGCCAACATCCGACAACGAACCTGTCTCGATAATCGCCCACGCACTTTGTACAGGGGTCGGAAAGGCTCGCACACGTTCACGGTGTGCCTAATTTCTGCTAGGTATGAAACCACCGCACTGGTGAGTGACTCAATCGTTCCGGTGTTCAGCCACGCGCGGTGTTGTTCACGAATCCGTTCGGGCAATCGCCTGACCGTGCGGCCTATGTACGTTGTTCCACAGGAACAAGTAAATGAGTGCACACAGAATGAAACCACAGAGTCTGCAACTTTGTCCTTCAGTCGCAAACACACAATTGGCTTGGACGTGAACAACACACGAAGCTTAGATGCATAGAAAGTCTTATCGATTGCATCAGATAATCTTCTTTGTATGATCTCGGGTGATGTGTCCCCTTTGAACGATAAAGAAATGTACACGGATTTTTTCTTAACCTCGGTGTTTTGTGCAGAGTTTTCCGTGCACTGAATCATCTTGTTGACTAAACGCTCCGGATATCTGTTACGTGCAAAGATCGATTTTAGAGTACGTAGCTCTTCTTCTAGCGTATCCTCACTGCAGATCTTTCTTGCCCTATTCGCTAGACAGCGAACCAGGTTTCTTTTTATCTTCAGTGGCACAAAGCTTCGGAAATGAATGTATTGGTCTTTCCACGTTGCCTTTCTATGCACGGAACGCTTCACCGAACCATCTGATCGACGAGTGATGCAGACATCTAGAAACTGCAATTTGTTGTTACACCGTCCAATTCCACTGAACATCTTGGAAGGTTTCTCTCTTATATTGGGAGTATTCAACGACTAAAATGCATGTTCGACTCTTTTCGAAACAGAGAAAGAACATTGTGCAACACTGGACAATCATGAACCCGAGAATAATGCAAAACTGGAATTCGGTGTGTGTGTGCTCACCGAAAACCAACTGCACCTGGGATAACTAATCACACTATGCATAGTCCAGTGCAGGTGACAGTTTCGAATCCACCGCCATTCAAGGTGGTCGACAGGGATTCCGTCAACAAATCATTGTGTGCAGGCCTTTATTTATATTCTTTTCTCCAAATAAACATTTTATTCAATCAATGGGTCAATCACCACCCTCATCCGGAATGACAGATGTGTATCGAAGAGCTGTGATGTGGGAATCCCTCATCGGGTCGATCCAATGAGGATTAAACAGAAAATACACTGTCCAAGTATTAATCACAAAAGTTTTACGTGAACCCTCGTTTGTCGCACGAGTAACCAAATGTACTTCAGGAAAAAGACAGAAGAATGATCTTGTTGGCAAATAGCTTTACCCAGTCTACAAAACACCGCAAAAAATGCCGAAGCCATAGGCTGTGTAAAGCGCGCGCAAACCGCAACAATGTTACGTAGAATCCGACCTCTGGTATTAACAGAAAAAAATGAAAGATGAATATGGCACAACGTTTATTTTACATGTCAGTCGTAGCGGTTGGTGTCAAGCCATAAATTAATCAAACCGGAAAGAAGCTGGTGACTATCCGAAAACGTCAGCAGCTATAGTGGTCATCAAAATGTAAAGCCCTATATCTTTGTTCATTTCATGATGACCTTGTAGAGCCGAATTGTAAAACATTACCTGGAATAATTAAGCCCCAAAAAACAACCTAAAGCCTCTTTCAAAGCGAATCATATTCCGTTAACCAATAGATCGATATCGTTTAAGCGGGATGGAGTAGGCGGATTAATAACCTAGAAGTTAGTCGTCAGGTATTTGGGAATGCGTCGAACAATAACTCGCTATCGCATCAAATTCTACACAATAGACTCTGTGGATTAGGATAAGTTTTGATTGTCTGACGGTCGCCTTCTGCGGTGCGCCTTTTTTACAGTGACTGTTGCATACTGGAGAAAGCCATGTGGAGGCCAGCAGGTGATATGGAGACGAGGCATGAAGAAATGCACTGGATGATTAGGTAAAGTAGATGTCTCTCGTCTTCCGGGTTGGGGTCCATAAGACTCCTTAACCGCATGGTTGGAGACACTGAAGATCATGGCTGTGAACCGACAGTAATGGCGATCTTACCGTCACTTCTTATTAGACCAGAATGCTCTCTGTAGTGACCATAGAGGTTCACTCTCTTTTCGGGTCCCTAAAAATAGACAACCCTAGTCCTCCTCACACATTCTCAGTTACCTTGTATGATATATGATGATGATGGTGATGATGATGATGATAATGATGATGATGATGATGATGATTCGGATGATGGTTATAATGACGATGATGATGATGATGATATGATGATGATGATGATGATGATGATCGTGATGATGATGAAGATGATGATGATGATGATGTTGATGTTGATGATTCGATGATGATGATGAGGATGATGATGATGATGATTCGTATGATGATGATGATGATGATGATGATGATGATGATGATGATGATGATGATGATGATGATGATGATGATGATGATGATGATGATATCGTTTAAGTAAAAGCTTTAGCACCACACTAGGACCAGTCATCGTAAATCGACCCGGGTTACACAGGAGCAATCGCATCCAGGAAAATAGACAGACTAGATCGGTGAACCAAAGCAACACAATCAAAAGCAACCTTTCTCCTTAACTACTTCTCGGCCCAACAAAATTGGGAACATTCAGTTTGGGTTCTCTATATCATGCCAATGGAATCAAAAAGTTGTATAAGCTAATAAATATTCTCAAGTACTGGACAGTGTGATAGGGAAAAACCGTTTTCCCCAATGAAAGTGACTATTTCCCTCTGTTTTCCCATTAATTTTTGTGAAATTTGAATTTCCAGATTTCATGATCAAAAAAGACTCATACTCACTACCGGCCGTGCTTGATCCTCATTGATCCATTTTCTCATGACTCACTACTTTCGAGCTAATTTCCAAGATCATCGATGGCCGGTCCCCAAACTGTTTAAAAACAGTAGAGTTGTCCACTATCTTCGCCTTTACGGTCGAGCAAAATATACAACCTCGCCTGAAGGCTTATCTTCCGTGTTCTCTCTGGTCGGGTTTCGGAGACCGTGCTACTTTCTCCGGGCGTTTCCTTACGATTTCAATGGGAATCGCTTTGGGCTACGCAGTCGAGCGTGATCGTGTATCGTTCACTGGGTCTTGCGGTTCTGTTCGTGGTCTATTCTGCCGTACGTATTGTTGGGTCACCGCTCATACTAGTCCAGTCATATCGTCCACACCAACGTTACAAAACAGTGTCATTGAGAATGTCAGTTTGCCAGAGGATTATATTTTTTTCGACCGGATTACCAAGTTTGAGGAGAGTAAGTACAAACTCAATTCCATCCTTTAGGTAATATTGAATAATGTTACGTAAAGTTCAACAGAACTTTGTTTGTTCATTAGCGGAAACTCGTAATGAGCGCAATAGAGATTACATGTACAGAGTCTTAATGGGCTTTGTATACTGCAAATCGTTCTATTTTCATGATGATGTAACTTGGGAAAACGGTGAAGTAAACAATAACATTTAAAATGATTTTCCTTCAATGATTGCCGAAAATTAATTATATAAAATCATCTTTACGTATACAGGCATTTGGTGAACTCATGCAACATGACTCTCATTTTGGAAATATACTTTAGTTACCAAAATCGTACGTGTATGTAAGTCGATAGATATGAGTGAACAATTTTAAAAGAGGAATTCATCGTGTATATGGCAAATGGAGTGTGAACTGAAGAGCTACGAAGCACTAAACAGCTATTTCAATCTGGTTGATTCTCATCAGCAATGGGCAAATCCATCGACCCAACTGGGAATCGAACCCGGAAACTTATGGGCGGAACACAAGCATGCTACCCACTCGGTCACTGGGCAGCAGCTGATCAGACAGTTTTTCATGTTCCATTTACATTGAACGAGTGAGCATTATTTCTCTCTCTCTCTTTGTCTTTTACTACCGTTTGGATAAGTGTAACTTCGGGCGTCCGGCGAAAAATATGTGGTAGTTCGACTGTTCAAGCTACAAATGAGAAAGAACCTTTCGTGTGGAATGACATGAACGTTGATGAATACTGTCGAAATTCAGTTCTTCAGGAAATGCTCTCCATTTATTTTCCCTAGTCCACTGAACACGAATCACATTTGGGAAGGAAATCACAGGCGTTTATAATATAACCTTGAACCAATCAGATCGTTCGACGGGCAAAATTAAAGTCTTACATGGACCAATCATAGAAAACACAATTAATGCAGTAAAATAAATGACCAATTCAAACAACAATCTAACACATCCTTCTTCTTTTGAAAGTTTTTCATCATAATCATCATAATCATCATTATCATATCTGTCCGCTTCAGGAAGGGGATTGTGCTGCCTTGGCCATTGTCGGCATCTTTCACTACTCTTCTTTATGCACACAAACACTGTCGTTCCGGGACGGTGTTCCTTCGGTTCACGCAAAATAGTCTGAATAGCGTTCCTTTTTTCCTGCAATGCAAATGCTACACAAATGACACTTTATTGCTTGACAATTTATCGGTCAATGTCGGTCAGAATTCGATTGAGGTAGTCTATTTAAATTTTGTGGCATAAGCTCCAAAAGTGGTTGAGTTTCGGGGTTTGTTTTTCACAGGATAAAATTCAATTTATTACATTTTTATTGCTGTCTGTTAGACTGAGAAATAGCATCAGAGAACGTATGGTAAACAATTTTGAATTGTTGAACTCCGAAGAAGGTAATATAAATGAATGAATGCGGTGCTTTGAACACTCGATTAATCCAGATGTAAGCAATAAAAGCAAAAACATGAATATTGCGATTTTCAATCAGTTCGTCTGCTCTCGTTTATCGCGTAACTGAATACCACCGATTCATTAGGCATAAGAGAAACAATGCATTTGAGAGGATGAAGTGGGTCCTGTTTAGTTAATATGGTATTGACAAAAGTTTAGGGTTTATCCAATACCAAAACTATGGGCAGTAAATAGTATTTTTTTATCAACTGTAGAAATGTCAAGAAATTCCGATTGTTATCACGTAATGCTACTATCAAAGATCGGACTAGGTTCACATGTTATCAGAAGATATTGCGCGATCAATGCAGTTTGAGGTGTGTTTGTTCCATCATCAAGGTTATTACCGGCGTGGATACGTGCTCTACCAGAAATCGATCCTTTTTGCTTATTTACATGTGTAAACGCAAATTTGATTGAATTAAGGTTTGGAATACTCAGTTCCGTAGGGCTATGAGAGGGATAGAAAATCTTGTTCCTCTATAGCGGTTCACAGTAGCTGCACCTAGACAGGCTTTTGGGTACATCGTAAAGCTGATTTCAAAGTCTAAATAACTTGAGAGAATCCGTGACCAAGTCCAATTAAGTTCCTTTTCAAAGAAAAGCTTGTTAGAAAAATCACAGGTATAACTCATATCAATTAGATATAGGCTATTAAAGTTTTGCCTCCGGAAGCCTAAACATGGTCGTGGGTGGATGACTGCTCACTCTTGTTCTAATGTTGTGAGATACTACTCACACTGGTGAGTAGTTCGCAAAAAATGCGATCGGCGATTCATTTGAACGATCAAAAATAAATAGTACCACTCCATATAATAACTATAGACTGTTCGATTCAGTATCCTGTGTGCTACCGGGAATCGTGATGATAGGTTTTAAGTGAGATTGAGGCCATATTATCGATAGCCTAACTGTAATCTGCAACTAGGCACCGCCTTGCAGACGCATAAGATTCACACCACGAAATGCTCCCAACAGTATGAATTGCTAGTTCACAATCACTTATGTAAAATAGCCTTTGCTGAAGAAATTCCTACTCTATGCCATCCCGTGGCGGAGCGTTTTACTTCTTTTGAACAAAATGAGAGATTCTAAATTAATCAAGGTGAGGCGAACAAACCCTACACACTATGCTGCTTACGGTAGTGGTCAGTGAGATGTATTGGTCACCCTGGGAGTTTTACCGTTTCCAAAGAGCAGATTATTCGTTGAACTATACTGTTTGTAATTCAGGATGTCTAGATTTCATTGGTGTATGCATCACAGAGGCACGAACAGCACGAACGACACTGGCGATGTTCCGATGATGAAATTGCACCGGGAAATTGAAGTGTCCTCATACCGTTCTGCGCACCTTCCGGTACGGGCCCCAGCATTATTCAATGTTCAGTGTTCTTCAATTAGAGGCAGAGGGTAATTTCCCGTATGAGCCTCATCACCACAGACTCGAAGATCTCATTCATGATAGATCTGCATAC